TCAAATGAGCAGCAAATTTATGCTGACAGAGACTAGTCCACTACCCATAAGATTTTCTGAAATATTAGTTTCTTATTGGAAATATTACCATTTGCAATAGCAGAAAGTTGAGCCAAAAATGGCAACTTCAAGAATAAGTAAGGACAATCAATTCACTGTGGAGCAGAAAAAGAGAATACAAACTAACTTCTAATCAGACAAAAGCAGAATTAAAGGGGAAAACAGAAAATACATTCAAATCAGTGGCTGATGCATTGAACATTAAGGTACCATTTCCTCTAGGCCATACTGTCACCCTTATTCCTCAGAATGTATATCATGGGATTAAACATCAGGGGGACAATGGTATAGAAAAGAGAGAGAAATGTGTCTGTCCTGGAAGAATGTTTGGATTTGGGTCATGAATGTTTGGATAGCAGAACAAAGCCACAACTATGTTGTGAGATGAGCAAGTAGAGAAAGTGTGGGCTCATCCTGTTGCTAATGGCAACCTCAGGGTGGTGGAGACAATTTTACTGTAGGAGCCAAATATCAACATAAAGGGAATCATAATACACAGCACACGAACTGTAAAGACCTGAATCTCCCACAGGAAAGTGTCCCCACGGACCAGCTTGAATACTGGGAGGAGGTCGCAGAAGAAGTGAATAACTTAGTTAGATCCACAAAATGGCAGGGAGCCAATGTGGCACGTCTCCCCTAACTTGACTGGAGCTCCATTCATCCAACAGTCAGTCATTGTCAGCCAGGTACAGAGCTGCTGCTTCCTACCCTGAGGACACTGCAGAATGTCACAACTGGACACACTGCTATCACAGAATGTCACTGTCAGGAAAAAGAATTCTGTGTGCCCAAGCATTAAGATAAAACATACTTTTGTTACAGAAACAATGAAAGATAGATTTCTTTTGTGAGTCTAAATTTTTATGAGTATTCTATAAAGAGTGAGAAATAGCATAACAGATTTCCAGGAAGAAAAAATTGCTGAGGAAAAAAAGCACTGGAGTTTCGAGAGCCTGATCAGCTCTGATTATGAGGATAATGATGCCTTTTCCCTTGAGCCCTATTACACAAACAAGAAAAATATCACAAAAAATTATTCAGAGATTGGGAATACAATAAAATCCCCCCAAATCAAATTCCATCATTGCAGTAAAATTTGCTTCTGGTTGGTATGTTTTGGTGTTCCATCTGTAAAAATAGTGACATTAATCATCTATCCTTCTGATTTTTTTATTGCCCAGAGGAGGTTGAGGAATTAATATATGAAGTCATTATTTCCATTCAAATGGCAGCATTTTTTATAATAATATTAAAGAGAAAAAATGAATACAATGGTGAACACATGCTAAATCTAAACATTGGGACACAATGAAATATATAGTAAGTTGGCATTTTAATGCAATCAAAGGGTTCTGGAAATATCATTTTTAGCTTTTGTTTGTGGACAGGGCAAAGTGAGTCTTTTTACCCCACGTACTACAGAGTCCTTCAGCAGAAACATTGGCGTCTGTCACAGTTCCCAGTGGGGAGCTCACCATACTGTTCTGCCTTGTGCTTCTGGCCACAGGAGGCTTCCACCTGCCCTTTGGCAAGCAGAGCATGTGCATTCCTGAACTGTAACACTGCTCTTGCTCTTCCTGATTCTGCATGAACTTTTCCCCAGAATTTTATTCTTGTTTAACTTATGTATCAAAATCAAATGCATGACATTATCACCAGGCATCATGTTTCAAGAGCTTTCCTTTACTCAATCTCGTCATGCAGCAGAGAGTCGATAAATGTATTCTGACCTATAAATTGGTTAATTAGTAATGAACATAAGAAGTAAATTGCATAGCTAATATTAGAGGAATGTTGCTTTGTGCATATAACCTGTGTGTCTTTTTATCTGTGATTACTTGTTCTCATGAAAATACTTCTCATTTTAATAATTATCTGAGATACATATAGAAATCCAAATGGAACAGAATAATTCTTATGAAATATAATTGTTAGGCAGTTGCTCCCCAAAATCAAGTTCTAAAGTATTGGCTTCAAGTTTGTAGTTCTCCTTTTAAGGTAGAAAGAACTGTGGAAACTAATATAGACAAAACAACTTCTGAATGGAGTCAGAGCCACTATCCCAGGGGCAGGGCCTTGCATTTCTTACTTCTCAATCAGGCCTTCAGAATGTTTGGCAAAATAACCTTTACACTGGGCCAAAGCAGCCTTGTATTCCAACTGTTTTCAGAACTAACAGGGAAGCAAATATCCTGACTGCAATACTGAACATTACATTCTTAGAATTAGCACCATTATGTATGCCTAAAGACTAACTTAGCTTGGGTGTACCTATAGAAATTTCTTCCTTGGCTTATAAGTACCCATAGAAAGTCCTTCGTTCTTTTCATGTAATTATTTTCCTTCCCTTTCACATAAATACTCCTTGCCTCCATCCCATAACACAAACACTATTTGGATTTCTGCCTTCATCAGTGCTACCCAAATAGCTATTCTTTGATCTAAAATAAATGCTGTTACTTCTCACTTTGGCTCTTTATTTTTAAGGATAACAGAACCCCACCCCCCAACCTCCCAAAAAGAATAAGGTGGTTTGGAAAATAAAGTTCAGAAAGAAAAAATTGTATGTGTTTTGAAGCAATTAAAAGTACAAAGAAAAAAAATAAGGTGACAAAGAAATGAGAAATCCTATGTTTGTATACTGCCTTAATTTTATTATTCTTAATAAGAAAATCAGTTCTAAAGAAATATATATATGTTAGGTTAAAAAAGGCAGAGACTTAATCTCCCTTTAATGCAGCATATAACTTTTTCTATGGTGAGTCATAGCAGCACCTATAAATAAAGATAAACCAGTGTTGTTCTGATTAAAAGGGATGTGGTCCAAATAACTTTCAGTTATTTACCTGGTTAATTATTCACACAAACATGCTGTATTTATGTAGGGCTCTATGATCTCTACAGTGCTTTAGTGTCAGTTCCTTTTTCAATTTCCTGTATCATCACAAAAGTGAGAAAATTACATTTTCAGCTTTGACTTGAGTGGAAATTTTGAGCTGAAATATGCCTTCTTTAACATGGTGTCTTCTGAATTTTGGTTCTCAGAATTTTGGCTTTGAATTTTACAGTATTCTAAAATAAATAAAAATATCAATATAACAATCAGATTGATATAAAATAATGGATATGTTCTCCTCCAGATTTAGTTGTAGCTGCTTTTATCCTGCTCCATGGAACAGTTTAAGTACATGTGCTCTTACATGTGTATGTAAGAAACCCTTGTTTTAATAAGAATTGATATTTTCCCCTCACAACTGAAACTAGTATGTCTTGGTTACAATGAGACCAATGGGCATCATGATATGCTGTTTAAGGTATAATAAAACTACCATGGATACTCAAAACTGTTTATTTACTGATAGTTTTCAACCATCATAATGGGCGTTTGACAATCCTGGCTTCATTATATTAGAGAAATTGCAGCCTCACCTCAGTGCCTCTTGTCCTCTGAAGTCTCCAGAAGTCTGCATTCTTTACATACTTCATTCAATTCCAAGTAAGCCTGCAGTATTGCATAGAGGGGACAAAAAAAATCCTAGGAAGTTCCAGCTGCTGAATGTGTTTCAGACCTCTCAGGCATGCCTGCATCAGAGCAAATGCACGTGCAGAATGGCCCAGAGGCTTCACATGACCCCAAGTTACCTCTGTGTGCTCCTTATACATGTTTGATAAGAGCATTTCATGGATAGGAAATATTTGTTTGATAAATTATTTGGCATGTTCAGGGATAATATTTTCCTAATTGGGTTGATATGATGACATCTCAAAAATGTTAACATATTTGTATGATTGTCATTAAGTTTGAATAGATTTAAATTATCTTAGTTATTTCACCTATGTCTTATTTAGTGCTCAACTTCTCAACATTTATAGTGTCTTACATATTTAAGTTTTTGCTTTTTTTACTTGGTCAATTTGAATTGGTTTGAATTATTTTTGTCAGCAACATATAAAAAGCATTTTATACATTTTTGATACTGAAAAAGAGACATAGCCCCAATTTATGAATTTCCCACTAATATAATCTCTGTTCATTTTGATTTGTCCAAGACCAGAAACACATAAATGTCATTATTTGTATAATTTTTACATTGTTTATCATCTTCCTCATTTGTCAAATTTAGAACCTCTTCACTGATTTAATACCTACTGACATTTTTCTTTCTTTTTTGTTTTGAGGATTGTTTTATTTAGAATAATCTAATATTTTCAACAATGTTCATTTTTAATATTACCTTTGTCAACCTCAATGTATACTATAAAGGCCTTTTACTTGTTTTTCTAAAAAACCAGAGTAAATATTTCAGATACTTCTAATACTAATTAGATATGACTAAAGCAAAGCCTGAAGCTAGAAGGGGAGGGGATGATGTAATAACAGAACAGAGTGCTGAGATAATAGTGGAGGGGGCACCCTCAGGATTTGTAGTCATAAAGTGCCATGGACAGCAACAACAGATAGAAAGGAGGGGAAATGCAAAGCAAACACTTAGATTCCCCTACTTCTGACATCTTGGCTGCTGCTGGTTTTTTTATTGGCCAAATCCAATCACAGTGCAGAGCAGGTCAGTAACCATATCTGAAGGAATGGGAAGATTAAAGAAAATACATCAGAGATTATAACTCTAATCCATGATCATGTAACACACTCAGTTAACATTGTATTGCTGGGGCAATCTCCTTAACTCACTTGTTCATAATGAGAGGAAAGATGAATTCTTCAGATTAGATTGTTACAAGTGAGATAATCTGTGCCCTCATTATAGAGAAACCCTTTCCTTAACCTTATGAAACTAAAACCCCTTAACATAATGTGAAGTTCCTATCATGATATTCATGATCATCATTTAAAAATATGACAACAAAACTATATTTTTTCTGTTGTATCTACATGGCCAACACATAAACAAAGTCTTCTGTAATTTCAAGTGTCTGAATCATTGTAATGACTTAGTTAGTAGTTTTTTCAGTGCCACCATGATGTCTTTGTTCCTCAGAGTGTATATGATGGGATTCAATGTCGGGATCAAAACGGTGTAGAAAAGAGAGATCAGTTTTCCAATTCCTTCAGATTCATTTGGTTTGGGTTGTAAATAAGTGATGGTAGCTGTGCCATAGAATAAGATGACAACTATGAGGTGAGAGGAACAGGTGGAGAAGGCTTTAGACTTGCCTCTGGCTGATGATAGTTTCAGAATGTTGGAAATAATTTTGCCATAGGAGGCAACAATCAACAGAAATGGAATTATGATAAATACCACAGCAGATCCATAGAGTATTACCTCATTCACAAACGTGTCCCCACAAGCTAGCTTGAGTACAGCTGGGAGGTCACAGAAGAAATGATTAATTGTGTTAGATCCACAAAAGGGCAAAGAAAAAATCTGCCATGTTTGCCCAATTATGAAGGGAACTGCACTGACCCAGGAGGCAATCACCAGCTGGACACAGACCTTCTGGTTCATCACTACAGTGTAATGCAGAGGGTTACAAATGGCCACATAGCGGTCATAAGCCATCACTGTCAAGAGGAGACACTCCGAGCCTCCGAATATAAGGACGAAACACATTTGTGTTGCACAAGCGAGCAAAGAAATCTTTCCTTTTTGTCTCAAAAGGTCCATGAGCATTCTAGGGATAGTGACTGTGACATAACAGATTTCTAGAAAGGAAAAATTGCTGAGAAAAAAATACATGGGGGTGTGGAGAGCAGGGTCAATTTTTGTTATCAGTATAATGATGCTATTGCACATGAGGATGGTCAGATAGATGACTAAAAATATCCCAAATAGAATCCACTGCATACTTGGGACATCAGAAAAGCCCAAGAGAACAAATTCCATCATTGTAGTGACATTCGATTTTTCTGTTTTTAATTTGTTCTTCATCTGCAAATATGGTAAATTCAAGGTGGTTAATTCATTAATGTTCTTGAACCACATTCTCCTCTCCTGTAAACTGGATTAAATGCATGAAAGTATTTCTATAAACTCTAAAATTATTTTTATCATTGCCCTTGGTCTGTTTCTAGGGAATATGATTTGAAACTTCAGAAATGAGCTGATGTGCATTTAAAATCAATGCAAGAAATAAAATTCTAATATATCTTTTATAGTTGGATGTGATGATACCTGAGAAAGTGTGCCTTGTTATTTAGAGCTTATTGTGCAAGACTAATATCTCTTGCAGCCTTATTCAGAGTGGAATTATGACACAGGCTTTTTCTATATTTTTTGTCTGGTTTCATCATTTTCTTTTTCTGTATTGATTGGCTTATTCCATCTTCTTTCAATTCAAAGCTATTCTCTTAAAGTTTTGTTTAATTCTTGTTCAAAATGAGTTTGTTTGAAGTCCTCCCATTTATATTTCAGTAAGAATCAGTTATTTTAAATAATTCTTTTTAAGTTAGGGAATAAATATATGCTATATGAATGTTCTGCATTATGTATCACTCCTGTCACTTATGCTAAATAGAATTCTATCATCTTGTTAAATAACTTTCACTATTAACCCCTCCTATATAGTGTATACAGTGTGTAATAACTATCAATAAACATTTAACTCAATCAAGAAGTATGGATCATTCATTTATAATATTTTTTACATTTACTTCCTTATTTATGTAAGATTCTATGACCCATTGTCATATAATTCTCTTGTAACCAAATACAATTACAATTTTCTTTATTTTCCCCTTCATAATTTTGGCTAATAAAGCTTAATTTGAGTAGACCCTACTATTTTTTCCTCTGTGCATGTAAATGGTTGAAACATATAAATGAAACTAAACACACACATATACACAGACACACATCAACATTCACATACTCAATCTTTCTTCCATTCATATTAAAGTCATTAGTCTCAGACAGTCAGCACAGCCTGACATTTCTATTATACTTTATTAATAGTTGTCTGTAACTTTCCAAAACAAATATGTTTTCTGATCTCATCAAACCCAATACAACTATGTTACCCTCTAACCCCATCACTTGTTTTTTGCCTTAATAATACTTTGAAGTAAAACTAAGAAGACAAAATTTCTGTCACATTTCTCTATTTTTATCATTAGTAGTTTGAAAAATTACCTTAAGTGCATAATTTTATTATAAATATCATTATTTTTATTTCACCCATTGCTAATTTTATTTTACTTGATAATTAAGAAAGGTAAGTACTACATGATTTATCTTAAGTAGTTATTTATTTTCAGATAAAAGTTCTCAGAATTCATGTTTCTCTGTTTTATGCTCTGCATGTTGATCCTCAAATTTAGAACTTCTTTAAATAAAATAGGCTAACAACACAATTACAACTCACCTTTATGGATTTGCATGAAGCTGTCTGTATGAATGCAGGTGTTTTTTAAGCCATAAACTTTTTAAGCTCTCTTGTATCAGGAAGCCATTGTAATTCTACAATATTCTGGCCAGCTTTAGTGTCAGCTGCTCTTAAATAGGAAGTAGCTAGCCATGCTCACCCTGGGGGACTTCTCTCATGTATGAATTTAATGTATGAATTCCCAGATGGCTGCTTCTATTTTGACATCATCTGGGATTATGATTTGAAATTGCTTTCTCTGTAGATCACCTGTCCTTCTGTTCAGCCCCTTCTTGGCATAAAGCTCCCCACAGTGGGATAGTCCCTGGGTGAAGAAATGCCACTTAATTGTCTAGGATTACTTTCAAGATAAAGTTAAAAAATCTTTCCATGTATTATATTTCAGACCCTTATAAATTGGTGTGGATTCGCCTTCCTTTCTTTTATTTCCATAATTTATCCAGATCTAGAGCATCCAGACCTTTAGAAAACTGTATCACATGTTTTGTTTGGGACATGGCACACTTTTTCTCTTCAATACATGACATGGGGAGGCAAGATCCCTCTTCAAAAGTATAATGCTCTGTCCTTAGACTAATTTTTATCAAAATTAGAGCAGGATATATGTGCTGGCAAAATTCTAGACAGTTTTATCATGTTATAGCACCTGCTTAGGAATCCGGGAAGATATTTAGCTGATTCAAAATGTGAGCCATTCATAGACACAGACAACAGCATGGTGGTTACCAGAGGGAAGGGGGTGGAGGAGTAGTAAAGGTTAAAGGGGGATGGACATGCCACTACAAATATATGGTGATGGGAGATTTGACTTTGGGGGATGGACATACAGTGCAATATACTCACAATGTATCACAGAATTATACACGTGAAACATATATAACCATTAACCAGTGTCATCCCAATACATTAAATTGAAAAATAAAATATACAGAAATTTTAAAAAATTCAATATATGGGAAGCATCAAGTGTGAAGTGCAATTAAAAATACAAGCATTTTAAGCAAGACTATTTAATACAGAAAAAAGAAACTTTTGTGTCAAAATTCTTTTCTGATTTCAGCTACTTCTGGGCACATACAGAGATAAAACTTTATCTAATTTAAGAATCCCAACATCTACCTCTACTTGTAATTACATTTGTTTCTATTCTGGGGTTCGTTGACTGTTGGACAGTGTGTTTCTAGAACTGCATTCCTTTTTTCTATATTAAGCCTCCTCCTGTTTACGACAGCATGCCTCTCACACATTGGCCCTTTGTACTCTTTACTATGACTGTTTCAGTGTCAGACTTCCTTCACTTTTATTTATAAATGAGAACTGCATTCATGATTGGCCTCACGTAAGTTTGACAATTACTTACAAGCTGGGACAACTTGAATGTCCATCCCCCATTAGAGAAGACTGATCTAATCTCTATCCTATTATTAAGACAAAGAATTAGAGATTTCCTTATTCAATTAAATATCACCATTATCTCAAAAAATAACTAAAAACAAATAGTTCCTCAACTATGTCCATGGTTGAAGAAAATAAGGACACATCTTACAGTCCAACTTGGTGTCAGTGATTAGGAACCTGGTTTCTTTCATCTGAGAATCCCACTGTTCTCTAGTTCATTCTTCTTCACAGTTCCATATTAGATTTTTAGCATTCAGAGAGCTGAGCATTAAAGACAGACAGGAAATAATTAAACAAACCCTCTCTTAAGAGCTTCAACACATTACTTCTACCCATATGCTATTAGAGAAACTAATCACGTGATTTCACGTAGCTATGAGAGTGTTAGGGAATGGTGTTCACTGAAGATCAAAGAAACAACTACATTAGGAGAGCATCAAGCCAGACTCTGCCACAGTCCTCTCTTCTGGTCACTAACAATGTGTTATAGCATGCTGTAACATATACACCTTTAGATTTAAGTTTTAATATGACATATATAGAACAGAATCATTATGTGTAGTACATGTCTATGTATTTTAGTTGGTTTTTAGATATACTTGTGTCTAATGAAATGTTATTATTATTTCCATTCCTAAATTAGCAACATTATGGACACATAATTTACAACAATTAAAGGTCAATCTTTATAATGCACGCAATGAGATTTAAAATAAGATGCAATTTGACATAAATGAGGTCTTTCCAGATAGTATCCAGCCATGTAATATGAAAAATAGTGACATTTATTGAAGAAGACACAACATACAAGAAACATTGAACATAGAACAATGATGCGTCAGTCCCCTTCAAAGTTGGTCCCTTGGAACCTCACACAGTTCTCCCAATCAGTATCAGCTGTCCCACTGTATTTTCCTGAATCTCACTGATGGTCTGAAATCTCTTCCCTTTCAAAGGTGATTTTAGTTTTGGGAAAAGGCAGAGTCACAGGGCACCACATCTGGGCTGTAGGGGGCCTGAGTCATCTGGGTGATTTGATATTTTGCCAAAAACTCTGTACAAGATGTGATGCATCAGCAGATACATTGTGATGAAGCTGCCAATCACCAGTTGCTCATAGCTGCAGCTTCTGAATCATCAAATAGTTTCCATGGAGGAACGCTCAAGCTTAATGCAGAATTTGATGCAGATTCATTGCTCTACTCCCTTAGTCATTTTGAATGTGATGACCACAGAGTATACATACTCATTCAATGGCGTCTACCACCCCCACTGACTAGTACAGTGAAATCGTCACTGTGTATGTATGTTCATTCCAGTCCACTGTCCTTGGCTGCCAGTAACATGATGTTGCACAAATAGTTCTTCTTATATTAACAATGGCTGGACATTTTCCTCATAGACTACATATACATACATGTGTGAAGCCATTCCCACTGGCAAGATACAGAGCAATCATATTATCCAAAACATTTTCCTAATATTCCATATTTTTAGTTATTAAGTATATGAATTGATTTTTATAATTTTACATTCCAGTTAATTGCTAGTAACATATAAACAGTTGAAATGATGTTAACATTTAATAGCATATCCTTGTTCAAGTCATGTAATTATTTCAGGACTTGTTTTGTAGATACCCTAAGATATTCTAGGTAAAAAATCAACTCTACCAAAACAACCACTTTTTTCTTTGCAATTTTAATTTATTTTCCCTTATTTCATAAATATTTAGGGTTTTAAAAGAAATATCTTATTTTCTTTACATCCTCATTAATTCTACTGTATTCAGAAAAAATATTCCAAACCTTTGAAACTTACAAGCACTGCTCTGTAAGTCAGCATATGGACTACCTTTGTAAATGCACCAAGTGCTCTTGAAAGCGTGCATAATATGCATTTTGTGTGTAATATTGTTCAGACAGTTTATTCCCGTACCGATTTTTTAGTTTCCCACAGGTGAATGAAACATAAATGTGAAGATTTCCTGCTATGATTATAGTATTGTCAAGTAATTATTTTTAGTCTTAGTCATTATATTTTGAGATTCTGTTTTTAGGTACATACAAATTTATGGTATTTGTGTCTTCCTAATAAATTAACCTTTTCATGTCAATGTAATATACCTGTTTATTTCTTCAATACAATAGCTACTCAAGTTTTTTTATGCTTACTGTTTGCATGGCAAAGTTTTCCTATTCAT